TTAAGATTTTGGTTCACTAAAGATTGTGCTATTCTGTCTCGTGTAGTTGCTCTTGTTACATGGGCCTCATTGCCATTAGATGTGTCCATTTTGTCTGGCATTGTCTGGTTTGTACTCCCATTGCCCGTGACACAAAGCCCTAGCTTCATCCCCTGTCCCACCATCACTCTTGTCTTGTGTCTTGTTGTTCTGCAACTCTCTTCACTGCACAACCTAAACTCTCCTCCACTACTAGAGAGCTGAATCCTGGCTGGGTATATTTGGTTTATCTTTGAAGAATTCTCCTTCAACCTTTTTCCCCAATTCCTGATAAATAAGAATATACCTTTTTTGCTCATGAGGTCTACCCAGAAGCATTTCGCAGTAAACGAATAAAACTTTCTCTTGCAACTTTGTTACCCTGTCTAGTTCTTGCAGACATAACGACAAATATTTCTAGTGCCTGGAATTCATGAATGTGTTCTTTGTTTTCTCTACCTTGGTAGAATCCAGCAAATAACATTCAACATGATCCTTATAGGGAACAGAAGCATGTACTGAATGGGCTTATCAATATTTTTTTTTTGGCTCCGTTACTTAAGGCTGATGTATGTGGATGAGTGTTTCATCAAGTGGGGAAGACCTAAACTGTGGCCAGAAGGAAAACACTAACCGGAACAGCCATAAAACAGACCGTCAAAATATATTAGTTGTAACTATATCTTTGATCTTAGGATACTTTAGGGAAGAACCTATTTTTCCTTTAACAAGCGGTCACCATGTTTACTTCATTGGAATTTCTGTAGTAAAAATACTAGCAAACTAGTTTATGACTCCCTCCATTCATAATTATAAGTCATTCTAGTTTTCTAGATACATAACTTTTATTACATATCTAGACGTAACCTACATCTAGGTGCGTAGCAAAAAACAATGTACCTAGAAAAGCCCGAACGACTTATAATTTGGAACGGAGGGAGTAGATGATGAAGATGCCTCACTGCTCTGCTTTTCTCAGTTGCTTATTAGCATGAGGTCGCAAAGCAGCAGACAACTCAAAGTACAGATTCAAGTTTAGCTTTGAAAATAGCTGCTTCCTTTGTGCTATATTGTTAATTAGTCTGTGTAGCCTTTTGGATGGTGTTGAACAGTGTCTTACTCTTCCCATAAATTGTTCCATAAGATTTTGCTGACTTCTTAATTCTTATCTGTAACGTGTCTTAACAGTTTAATTTGTTAATGAGATTAGTTACAGTTTCAAAACTCCGCCTATGTTGTCTCAACATAGCAGGTCCCAAGCCCTGGTAAAGGAGGAGGGTTGTGATTGGCGTGGCGAGCCAACGTTAAATCTAGCCATTCTAATGGAGATGAAACCCGAAAGAAAACCGTTGGGGCGTAACCCTCTTAGCGACGCGCCATATCGGATGTGGTGGGCTTTGGACAAACATAAAGTCCCAACGAAGTACGTCCGACTCATTAAGGACATGTACAACAATGTTGTGACTAGTGTTCGAACAAGTGATGGAGACACGGATGACTTCCCGATTAGGATAGGACTACATCAAGGGTCAGCTTTGAGCCCTTATCTGTTTGCCTTAGTGATGGATGAGGTCACAAGGGACATACAAGGGGACATCCCTTGGTGTATGCTTTTCGCGGACGATGTAGTGCTAGTTGATGAAAGCCGGACAGGAGTGAATCAGAAGCTAGAGTTATGGCGGGATACTTTGGAGTCCAAAGGTTTTAGACTCAGTAGAACTAAAACTGAGTATATGAGATGTGACGTCGGCACTACTACTCGGGAGGAGGAAGATATTAGTTTGGAAGGTCAAGTAGTGCCTAGGAATGATACATTTCGATATTTAGGATCAATGCTACAGAGAGACGGGGATATTGATGAAGATGTTAGCCATAGAATCAAAGCAGGGTGGATGAAGTGGCGCCAAGCATCTGGTGTCCTATGTGACAAAAGGGTACCACAGAACCACAGAAGCTAAAAGGCAAGTTTTATAGGACGGCGATTAGACCTGCTATTTTGTATGGTGCAGAATGTTGGTCTACGAAAAGACGACATGTTCAACATATAAGTGTCGCGGAAATGCGTATGTTGCGTTGGATTTGCGGTCATATAAGAAAGGATCGAGTTCAGAACGATGATAAACGTGATAGATTAGGGATAGCACCAATTGAAGAAAAGCTTATCCAACACCGGTTGAGATGGTTTGGACATGTCCAACGGAGACCTCCAGAGGCACCGGTGCGTAGTGGAATCCTAAGCCAGGATAGTAACGTGAAGAGATGCAGAGGAAGACCGAAGTTGACTTGGGTAGAGGCAATAAAAGGAGACTTGAAAGGATGGAATATATCCAAAGACTTAGCCTTAGATAGAAGTGCTTGGAAAACAGCTATTCACGTGCCTGAACGTTGATTGCTTCTGTTGGGTTTCAACTCTAGCCTACCCCAACTTGTTTGGGACTTAAAGGCTTTGTTGTTGTTGTGTTGTTGTATTAGTTACAGTTTCAACCAAATTAAGCTGTTATCAGTCACTTAACATTTAGCTTTTATCATGTTAGTTGAAGCCTTAGATTCTGAGCATGGTAACCTAGGAAATTTGTGCATTCTAGAATGAACTGTTAAGGATTGCCCCCGTGAATGGTACTGTGTGCATACTGGACTGAGGATTTTGATTTTAGTTTCTGTAAATTAAATTTGATTCTGAACCAGTTTTTCTAGGATGCTAGACATGTACTCTTATTCATGAATATACCAAATCTAACATCTCTTGTCTGTTGTACTTCATGCCCTTTTTCGTTCAATGTCATGTTTATATCGCTATATGTGTATTTTATTGTAAACCAGGTAATCTCTCCTAGTGGTCCGTATGCTTTGCTCATGAAGTTTCATGATAATAAGATTGCCTTCTATTATAAGCTGGGCTAGTAAACATTTGTTAGAATCAATTTGTGAATCATGGTTTCTGGGTGCTACTTTCCTTGACTCTGAAGACGTAGCCTTGCCATATGGCGTACAGTTGCTACTTAAGTGTAGATGGATTGGAAATCTCTAAGTGTTAAATCAATGATCTTCATTGATGGCTACTGACTCACTAAGTCTATCTATTAACACTAATTGCATCCCTTGGCATTTTACGAAAATAATGCATGAGTTGCAAATATAAGCACTGCTATTTTATAAAAAGAAACCCACCGGTGTTATTTGGTTTTGTTCTAAGTTCATATTTTCCTGTAACCTTGGTCCTTGCTTGCCACCATTGGGTCTTATTTCCCTCTGTTAAAGCTACTTTGTTCTGGACATATGTGAATACTTTTCGCCACTGGCAACAAACTTGCTCTAAGGTATCATCCGAAGGAATTTTTAGATTTTCACCTTGTATTATAATGTTTGTACTCTGTATGTAACCTATTGGGAAAGATTGGGTTGGATCTCATCTCCAATTTGTGCTGTTTTCAGGTCTTCCAGCTGAGACACTCGTCGACCGGTATGTGACAGTGGGCGCCTACTGTCTGCTGCGCTCTTGCACCATTGAGCCCGAGTGCATCATTGGCCAGCACTCTATCCTCATGGAAGGTTCGCTGGTTGAGACCAACTCAATCCTTGAAGCTGGCTCTGTATTGGCCCCAGGGAGGAGGATTCCAACCGGTGAACTCTGGGCTGGAAGCCCGGCTAGGTTTGTTCGGAAGCTGACCAATGAGGAGATCATGGAGATTCCAAAGCTCGCAACTGCCATCAACGATCTGATGCAAAGCCATTTCTCGGAGTTCCTGCCTTACTCTAACGCTTATTTGGAGGTAGAGAAGTTGAAGAAGTCGTTCTCGATCCCCCTGTAAGAGCATGTTGCCCCCCTCGTCCAGTTGAATGAATGAGGAAATAAAGGTTCCCAAATACTAGATGTTTTGTATTGAATCAAACTTCTACTCTGGGTTGGATCTGTTCTAATCAATTTTTTTTGTTCATTGTTGTTGTGAGCATGGGGACACGTGCAGGAATCATGTCTTCGTATCTTTTTACGTAACCCAATGAACTGTCTTTTTTTTTTCATTCTGTGTTGATTTCAATTTTATTACGCAAAGGGAAATGCTAAAATTACAGACTTCACAGTTTGCTTAAGTTGCACTTGACATGGCGTGCCGACGTCGCCCAAAACCTCCGGTTTTTTATTAATATTCTCGGTGCCGGTTCGCCGCACGGTCAGATTTGGTTGCCACCCTAGGCATCCAAAGCTCTGGAGAACATCACCCAAACCCTGAATTCTCCTCTTTTATCTGATGGCACAATCATAGTTTTGTATTGTTAATCTGAAGTTACTGACTGATTAGGATTCCCAATCTACTTTAGGCAGATTAGAAGTTGAGGTTGACAATGGCAAGGGTAGAAAATGGCCTAAATCCTAGTCTCAATCCAATGTCTTAGCTCTAAATCCGAACACCATGTAGATTTTAACAACCACTCTCTTTACCCACTTAAACATAGTATCTGACCATGTTTTCATTACCCGGGCTCTATTCTTTGATGGCACGCATAATGCCTACATTACCCGGGCTGATTGCTGTTTGTTATGGAGGATTTGGTTTTGTTTGCTGTAACACTGAAATTCAAACATCGAATATTTATCCTTCCTAGCGAAAGTCAAACAAATCCAATCCATGGTGCGTGGTCCAGATTCCAGAGTACGTGCTTCGAGCTACTGGGTAGCACGGTTACGATTGATATTTCAATTCGGATTCGTATTCGGAGAAGTGAGACGATGGCCAGCGCCAGCAGTCCCGCTCCGACTCCGAACGCACGGGCGCATCGATCGAAAATCGAACCACTCCCCTTTCCGATTCAGGCATGAGTGCTGAGGTGGGCACGGCACAGACCTTCCTTACAAATATCAGAGGATCCCTGCATGCAATTCCTTGTCCACGACTCACCGTACGTACTGCGTCAGCCTCAGCCGGCCGTTGCATGCAGAGTTGCCGTCTGACTGCGCCGGCGACGAAGGAAAAGAAAAACAAGCAATGGCACGTCTCGACACGACCCACGAGGTGGAGGTGGACCTCGAGGCCGGACGACAAGACTCTCCGGCGCCGGCGTCATCACCTTGCACATCCACATCGGCGAACAACAAGCCCTCACAGAAGAACAAAAAGCAGAAGCGGCGGACGCGCGTCGTTGGCTGCTGCTGCCGCGTCGCCTGCGCCGCCCTCCTCGCCGCGGCGCTCGTCGCCGCGCTGCTCGGCGTGCTGTACCTGGCGCTGGACCCGAAGCTGCCCCGGTACTCGGTGCACGCGCTGAACGTGACGGCGTTCGGCATGGACGACGACATGACGGCGCGCGCCACGTTCGACGCGTCGGTGCGGTTCGAGAACCCCAACCGCGCCATCGGCATCCGCTACGAGGAAGGCTCCGACCTGTCCATCTGGTTCCGGGGATACCGCCTCTCCCGGGGCGCGCTCCCGGCGTTCTACCAGGGCCCACACGGCGACGCGGCGCTCGTGCGCGTCGCCATGAGCGAGGCGCGCCTGCAGGGCACGGGCGTCGTGGAGGTGATGCGCCACGTCAACGAGGCCGGCGGGGAGCTGCCGCTCGTGTTCCGCGGCGAGGTGCCCGTCCGGGTCAAGGTCGGGCCATTCACCACGGCCAAGCTCACGCCCAGCGTCCGCTGCGACCTCGTGCTCAACAGGCTCGCCACCGAGGGCAGCCTCGGGGTCAAGAGCATGGACTGCAAGTTAAGCATCAAGCTCTGGTGATCGTTCGTGATCACCGACGATTTTTTTTTTGCGATATATATATATATATATATATATATACAAAAAATACGAGCCATTTTAAATTTTGTAGTAAACGATTTGTTTACTAACAAATGTGTCGTGCATTACAATAGAATATATAATTTGTTGTACGGTTCTCTGGACCGGTTTATGTCAATAGTAATGAGCTATTTATCTTTGTTGGATTTAAATAAAAAATATTACAATTCTCATAATAAATATTAGGTGCGATAAAGTGATTAATCTTGAATGAAAAGTTGACTAGAGATTAACTCGTCTTAATAAATAAATAAATAAATAAATAAATAAATAAGGCCCTATTCGCTTATCAGCCACTTACAACAAATCAACGAACAATACTTTTCAGTCAGGCTTTTCAGCGAAACGAATATAACCTAAGTTGACTAAAGTGGAGGTTGACCCACCATAATATATATTGCTATGTGCACCTCTGTGTGATTAAGAAAGGTAGAAGATGAGTCACACGTGCGCGGCACATCATTGAATAGGCTCAGGTTCAAACAATTAGATCACAACATGAGTACAATTAGATCACAACATGAGTAGAACGGCACTAGTGTGACAACAATGTCGAGGCCTTAGTTGCCAGCGTCTGTCGTATGCCATTTGGGTTTTAGGTACCTATTCTGGGTTTATGTTTGGCACCCGTAAATACGAAAAGAGCAAGAGTGAAGAACGGGTGTAAAAATTTGTATAACTTTTACTATATTAGATATAAAATAAGTGTTTTTGAACATTGTGATCCGATCCACTTCTGTGAAGGTTGCACATGTATAGCTTCGTCACAAGAACAAGAAACGACGAAAGGCAATAAAGAGCAAACACAATCTTGTCAAATGCACTTCATATATGTGGCCACCATTTATGCCGACTTGCAATAGGCCTAATGCAGGTTATGCGTGGTTTTTTTGGGTGGTTCAGTGGTTAGTATAAGGAATGCTCACGTGGGTAGGGTGTGCGTGCGTTCGTTCATAGGGTGTTGTGCGCTCATGTATATAAGCGTCTGCGTCTGTAACTGGGTCTCGAAAAAAAAAAAGACAGGGCTAGAATAGGTGCATCTCTAACAATATCTTAAAAAGTTAAGTATGTTTTTTCCAAGGATGGATAGACTGAGAGTTACAATAAAAGATTGTCGGAGCGGATTGAAAATGGATTTACCGAATAATTAGAGATGCTCTAAAAACTTGTTTTAGACCTTTTTCAAAAGTTATTGGGTAAAAAAAAACCACCAGCAATAACCTTTTATTGGTTCTTAAAAAGCATATACGCCATTATCTCTATACATGTCTAAGCCGCCATAACTCGCCACCAGGGCCGGTCATCCAGTACCCTAGATCACACCTAAAACCTTCGAAACATAAACTTCATCACCCTTAGCTCACTCCCAAAACCTTCAAAAAAACGAAACCTTCATTCCATGCTCCATTTTCTAGTATTCTCATATCTAAAAATAATAGTCAGAGATGTAATATCGGTGAATCTTTGGGCAGTGGTAGTCAGGGACAACAGGAGGCGTAGTGGGAAGTTAAGATAAAAAGTTATTGGAATGTTTTTTTGTGCATCGATAGAAAGTATCGACCGTCCGTGTTTTTTTTTGTGCATCAATGCCTCATTATTTTAACATGTATAGATTGGGAGTTGAAATAAAAAGTTATTGGAATGTTTTTTCATAATGAAAAAAAGATTAGGAGTGGTTTTATTAAACTATTGGAGACGCTCTAAGCAAATCAATCACACACTCGTAGCGAATTCCAAATACAATTTTGACTGGGCCGATTTGGGCTTTCTGAAGAGCTCAACCATGCGGGGCAGGAAACGTATAGCTTGACAAGGAGAGGAAGAAGAATTTGTTTGCTCAGAAAAAAAAAGAGAAAGAAGAATTTGTTCCTGTGTTTTCGTCGGTACTCTGGACACTGACCCTCTGATAAAAAAGTGGAATTAAGTTGGCCGAGTTACGAGTGGCCGGGTGGGGTTATTGGGTTTGTACGTACTGTACTATATAGGCACGGCCCGAACACGCCACTGTGGGCCGGCGGGGTCCCGTGGTCTCTCGGCAGCCTGTGAAGGGAGGGAGGGGCCCAGGAGCAGGGCTCCCTCTCTCCACCCCAGTTCTGTTTGTCAGGGACTCAGGGTCGCTGCTAGTGCAGTAGTGTTAGGAGCTTGTTTAGATTGTAAATTTTTTATAATTTGGATATTGTAGTATGTTTTGTTTGTATTTGACAAATTTTGTCTGATCATGGACTAACTAGACTCAAAAGATTCGTCTCGTGATTTACAACCAAACTGTGCAATTAGTTATTTTTTTATCTATATTTAATGCTCCATGCATACATCCAAAAATTGATGTGATAGAGAAAGAATAAAAAAACTTAGAATTTGAAGATGATCTAAACAAGGCCTACGTCATGGTTGAGTCCAAAAGACGAATAGATGCAGGGGCACCTCACCTGAGAGAGAATGCTGCCGCGTCGTGGCTGCAAAGGAACGCCGATGCACACACATTACCCTCCCAGGCTTCCAGAACAACTCTAAATCTTTTTTTTTTCTTTTGCATAAAAAAACAGCACTCCAACAGTTTCTTTTGAAATGTTATTCAGATTCCACGGAGCGGTCCATATATACGTAGTACTCCCTCCGTCCAAAAAAAAATATAACTCCATGTTGTGTGTTAGTAAAAGTAGTTTATTATTCACATTTATAGCTTCAAAATAGTTTATTATAAAAATATATTTCGTAATTAATTTAATAATATTTATTTGATATTATAAATATTGATATTTTTTTTATCTATAATTAATCGAACTTAGGATAGGAAGCCATGACCCTGGACGGAGGGATTAGGGTAGAGCGGAATCGGAGGACCGGAGGAGCGCGTATGCGGTGTGCTTTTGCTCATCTCGACATCTCATCTCTGCGCCACACGGGGAGCAGGAGCAGTGAATGCCTACAGCGACGGGTCGGCGACGCGCTTCCGTTAGCACTTAGCAGCAGCGTCTCATCTCGTCGCTCCTAGACCGGACCATCCATCCATCCAAGGGCAAGTCAGGTCACATCGATCACCATTCACCACGGAACAGAGCTGCATTTTGCGTTGTGAGGTGTGGGTTCTGTAGCCGGGCTAGCACGGCACGGGATCGGGACGGCAGTGTCTGAATTCGGCAACCTGGCCGGTACCACAAACGGAGCGGCTCGCCTGTGTCTGTGTGGCCTCGTCTCGCCGTCTCCTTGACCGTACCCGTACCCGTACCCGTACCCCGCCGGTTTCTCTTAGAGCGACATGGACAGGACGTGAGGGTGAGGCTGTCCGCAGACCTGCAGTGCATCAGGATACAGCACCGCGTCGTGGCTTGTGTCACGTCGGCGGCCTCCATGGCCGTCAGGCCTTTCGCTTTTGCAGCTAGCCTGGCGCCTGCTGCCTGCCTGGACGGTTGGACGACTCGGACGCCGTACACGATGGGTTCAGATTCTTCGAGGCCACTCGACGGTCAGCGCCCGGCCCCGTGTGCCCGTGTTCTAGCGCCAGCAGGTTTGCCCGTGTCGTGCTCGTGCACTTTGCCCGAGCAGCCGAGGACAAAAATCTCCGTCACTTTAGTTCTCGCCTCTCACGGTCTCACCCACAAGGCCACATCTACTCGGGCCCACTTTGGAACATAGAATTTACAAAACAATGGAACAGGATCCTACATGATTTCAGAGACCGTTGGAAGCAACGTGGGAAAAGCACGGGAAACAAAACACTGAGATTGGAGCTCATGTTTAATTTCCTTCAAAATTCCTTCACAATGGTCTAATCCATAGGAATTTCAAAGGAATTATTGGAACACATTCCTTTGTTCCAAAGGGCCACACAAGAATTTTTTCTATAGGGTTCGGATCCATCAAAACTCCCATACTTTTCCTCCATTCCAAAGGAAGCCTCAATCGGAATCGGCTTCCTCTGCTCTCTGCCGTCGTGATGCCCCTGATTTACGACTCATTTGGAACAAATGGTTTTCATAGGAAAAACATAGGATACTTTATTCTATAGGATTGGTTACTGTAGCACCATTTGGAACATAGGATTGTGCCATAGGAAAAATACAGGAAACCTTCCATTGGGTCTCCAAGCTCATGTTTTAAATTCCTATATTTTTTTCCTATGAACCATCCAAACACCAATTCCTATGTTTTTTTTTTGGTCTTTACGATCCTCTGTTATGCATATGCAATCTCATCCTATCCCTAATTTTTTTTTTCTATTCCCATGTTCTTCTAATCCTACGTTCTAAGAAAAAGCCCTTACTGTATTCCGCTCTATATCTTTCTTTTTTTAGGGAGTATTCCGCTCTATATCTTTTTTATTTGAGGGAGTATTCCCCTGGCCTATCGTTGCGGCTGGCTGGCTGGCTAGCTTCCGTTGGGTCCAGAGCATCATGTGCTTGGACTTGGCGTCGACCCATTGATTGCCACGACCGCGACCGACCGTGGAGGAGCGCCCAAGGCCCATTGGCCAGACTGCCAGAGGCTGGCCGAGCGGCCCCAGCAATGCGTGCGCCGGACTGCTTGCTTTGCTTTGCCCCAGAAAAGCCGGGACGAGCGCCGCGCTGTGTCAGACGAGCTGCATGTGGCGGAGCGAGTACTGACGAGGCACCGCGCCGTCGCGCCTCACGCCGCGCCACCAAAGTACCCCTCCATCCAAAACATGCAATTATATAATTCATACAAGTCAAATTAGTTTAAATTTAACTAAGTTTACAGTATTAACATTTACTTCCTCCGTCTCAGAATAAGTTGTCTAAATAGTATTAACTAAGTTATACTAAATAGTATTAACGTTACTGGTTGTATGGTGTGTATAGGACCTCTTTGGAAGGGCTTCAATAGCTCTAGAGATTGTTTGGTTGTCCGCCGTCATGCCACACATGCGGCTGCCACGGATAGCTGACTAGTGTTTGGTTTGCATGTAAAGGGTGACAGCCACGGGTTCCTCCCGTTCATTTTCTCGCCACAGTTGGGGCAGCCAAATTCTTCGTTACAGGCTTTGGCGATGCCACAACTGCTATGGCAGGCTTTGGCCAAGGACCAAACATCCCCCTAGGGCTTTGTTTAGATTGCAAATTTTTGCAACATGGACACTGTAGCACGTTTCGTTTGTATTTGACAAACTTTGTCTGATTATGGACTAACTAGGCTCAAAAGATCCATCTCGTGATTTTACAACCAAACTATGTAATTAGTTATTTTTTTACCTACATTTAATGCTCCATACATGCGTTCAAAAATTGATGTGATGGAGAGAGAGTAAAAAAACTTGGAATTTAGAGATGATCTAAACAAGGCCTAGATCCATAAACATAGCTCCATTCCACTGGAAGGTGCCTCACCCCTTCTGGCTGGCCAGAGTCAGCCATGGCCATGCCAGCGTTGACCCATATGCTAATGTGTCAAAATATAAATTGTGCAACCTTCTAGGGGCTTGAGTGGCCATTCCCACAAAAACCTTCATTTTCTTGATCTAGAGTTGTGTTTCTAAACCAAAAATGTGTAACAGCTCCGTGCTGTTAGACCAACTCCAGAGTGGAGCTACTCCATGGTGCAGTTGGTGGTCCGAACCTATTTTCATAGTGCTAGATCTCTTCCAAACAAGCCCATAGACCCCCAAAGATGTTTGGACCTGTACGACTGCACCCCTTCTATAGGGACCCTCACTCCACCATTTTGCATAATTGGATCTCAACTAGAAATGTGCTGAGAAACACCATTTTGCATGCTTGTTCATTAACCCGACATGTGCTGGAAACGTCATTTCGTCGATTGCATCCCCTCTCACGTAGAGCACAAAGCCATCTTCGAGAAGCCAAAAGGCGGAGTCATGTAGAGAGACAAGGAGTCCAGGGAAGTCTTACTCGTGATCCCAAAGAGTGTGAAGTTAGTATCGTGGGTGCATCGTGGGCATGAGATAATTGGTCTCAAAGTAGTATAAAAAATCAGTATACATCCTGAGTCTTTGAGTGCTAGCCATATGAGGTCATACGCATGGCTATAAATTCACTAGTCAACGCTACGAAACGTTGACATTTATAATAGTTTGACTTAGGATAAATTTATAAATATTTATATTTTAGAACGAAGTAACAAACTTTATATTTTAGAATAGAGGAGGATTAATGGAAACAAACTAGTCCCTTCCTTAGAAACTATAAGTTGTTCGGTTTTTTCTAAACACATAATTTTTATTATACATTTAGGTATAAGTAGCAATGTATCTATAAGAGTCAAAATATCTTATGGAGAGAGTATTTAATTTTCTCCCGCTCGTTTCCATTATGATGGTGGAGTGAAAAAGTAAGGACATGTTTCGTCCCTGCAACAGTTTATCACAGTTTAGGTACTCCCTCTGTTTTTAAATATTTGTCGACACGGTTTGCATGCTGATAAGTTTGAGTGTTTGACTATATTTATAGAAAAAAATTATCTCTAAATAAATTTATTATAAAAAATAGATTCAACGATTTATCTAATGATATTAATTATATACCATAAATATTAATATTTTTATATATTTGATTAAATTTATTTCTCGGTAAGCGAAAACGACAGTTAAGTGGGAGTATTGACGTATCACCTATGCGCATGGGAAGGAACGCGCTACGCAAATGATTGGATGGGCATCATGCTTCTTGGCTCGTCAAACTTTCTAATAGAAGACTCATTTTGTAAACTATGGCTTCGTTCGCTTCGCTAAAAAACAAGTCGAAACATTGTTCCGGCTGATTTGTTATGAAAAAAAAAATACTGTTCCGGCTAAAAAAATAAGCTGAAAAAGACAGATTATAAGATAAGCGAATAGGGCCTATATATATACTTTTGCCATAATCGCGACAAGCATTGATATATCTACATGAAGAAAAAAAGAAACGTTACAATTTGCTGATTAATAGAATTCGGCAAGCTGCGTAGAGTATATTAATATTACTGCTCTGTGTACCACGAAAGGACCACGACTCCACGAGTAGTACTCCCAAAGCAAAGAGTAGTACCCCTTGGATGGGAGAAGCGAGGCAACAATCCCCATCATCCCCACAACAGTGTAGTCGCCAAACAATGGCCGATGGTGGTACTCTACGTGATAGCGATAGCTCTTGTGTTGCCCCCCTCCTTCCTGCTGACGAGGGCAACTCCAACCAATCTCTTAAATTTTGCTCCTCTATTTCTGCAAACAAAAGTCCCTTATCTATTTTTTATCCCTTACTCTTTAGAGCACTTCAACCGATCTTCTAAATTTTTCCTACTTTTATACTGTATTGTTATGGACCCTGTTTAATGGTCCCACTTGTCACCTTAATGGAAGAGAAAAAGCATGATGAGAGAAAGGATGAGAGACTCCTATATCTAGGAGTTTAAGAGAGAAGAATAAAAGTCGAGAAAGGATGAGAGACTCTTACATCTAGAAGTTTAGGAGAGAGGAATAAAAGTCCCTTATTCATCGGGGCTTGAATAGGGTTCGATTGATGCGTTTGAACTCTGACTTCGGTTGAAGTTGAGGAATTAAAGAAAGACGAAAGAACAGGCATGTTGGCTTCTTTTATAATCCGGTTTTTTCAGCTTATTCACCGTTTCACCCCCCCGGTCGCTGACCCCATACGGATATTTAGAGGGGGTAAAAAAGCTCCCAATTGGATCTGGGGCCGAAGGGCGTACTTAGTATTGGATAAGGCAAATACCCACCAACAGCCCACCAGAAACCAGCCAGAACTGATGAAAGAGCTACAGTACACCAGTTCACCAAGAACATGTCTGCAGTTGGGGATAAGCAGGGCAATCCAGGCAAGAGTTGAAAAACCCAACAACACCGGACCAATCATTTACTAGGGATGAACCAGCCGCCTAATTACATCACAAAAGCAAGGGGCTTTACCTGCATCCCACAGATGGAACAGTCAAGCAAGAGCAGGATAAACGCAAGCACGCAAGACCATAATTCACACAGTTATGAAGCACCAAGAGATGTTCATCTTGTTTCAGTTGCAGTTGCACCTTCACTGGTTGCCATAATTACCCCATACTACAATATAGCTTAGCTACCCGCGCTTGCAGATTTCCGATTTCCCTTCCCCAACTGAGAAGAGAATTGCCAGCGCTTTTTTTTTTTACCTCTGCTGCTGCTGCCTACGCAGTCCGATCTTTTGCCAAAAGTACCCTAGAGAGGCCCCGCATTTAGAGGAATGCCATTGGCCGCCTGCTGTGCTGCCCCTAGGTGGCGCCGCTCTCCACGGCGGCGGGGCTCCAAATCCCCCAGCGGCGGAGGTTGAGCACCCCGCCCATCACGTCCGCCCACCCGCGCTTCCTCTCCTCCTCGGCCTCCGCCGCCACCTCGCCGCCGCCGCTGCATTCCTCCGCTTGGGCCTCCGCCGCGGCAGTCTCTTCCGGGACATTCTCCTTGTTCTCTGAGAGGCAGGCCGCGGGAGCCGGGGTACAAGGGCAGGAAGGAAGGAGCGGCGACGAGAGGGGTTCCTCGGCCACCTCGGAAGCGGCGGGCTCCGGGGACTCGGGGCTGCTCCGCGCCGGCACCGGCGGCTGCGGCGGAGGCGGTGGAGGCGTAGTGGCGGCAGGAGCCCTGCCGCGCTTGCCCTTGTCGCGGCGCTTGGAGGGAGGTGTGGCGGCGGCGGCGGAGGACTCGGCGGCGCTGAGGTGCTCCTCGAAGGCCTCGAGGGCGTCGTGGATGCGGTCGTGCTGCGGGGAGCAGTCCCACCGCGACCAGAAGCTGCCGTAGCACTCGAAGCACAGGCACCCGACGGTCGGCGGGTGGCCGCGCCGGCTACGCGGCCCGCTGCCTCCGCCTTGCGCCTGCTGCTCCGGCGGCGGCGCGGTGGCGGCGCCCCAGCCCACCAGGAACGAGCGCGTGACGAGGTGGGCCAGCACCCGCTGGTCCTCGGGGCACAGCCCGGCGACGAGGACGAGGATGGCGGCCGGGAGGAGCCGGAACGCCGCCGCGATGGGGTCCTCGGCGGGCGATGGGTGGATCTTGCCGCCCTTGCCGGGCTTGGGGCACAGCGCCTTCATGGCCGCCGCTGGGCCTCGGGGGCGGTGGCGGTGGCGGTAGGGTTTAAGCCCCACCTCGTCGCGGAGGGTGGTGGGCTGTTAGGGTTTGGGGCTGAGGAAGAAGGAAGAAAAGGGGGGGAGAAGCGGAGGGGGCGGAGAAGGTGGTGGTGGGGTTGTGGCCTTGTGGGGGTGGTGGGCTTCGGGAGGAGCGCTTATAGGGAGGGGCGAGGTGCACAGGAAACAGTTGCTCTCCTCAGCTGTTCTTTTGCTTTCTCCGCTCTCTCAAGATGCTCCTCCGAGTTTTCGCGTTTTGCATATTCCTCCTACGTGTCATTCGTTAATGCAGCTGTTTTATGTTCAATCAGCTTCATGTGCCCTGAGTTAAAAAAAAACTTCATTTATACACAAATGTTTCTATTATATAGCTTCATTTATATTCATAAACCCACATCAGTGTTTCTGGTTCATCTCGCCATAAAATGAATGATACACAAATGCTTCTACTATACGACTTTATTTATAGTCATAAAACCCTGGGGGGTGTTTCTGGTTCATCCTGCCAGAAAATGAATGAGGTGGCCTCGTTTTTTCTTTAAGATAAACTACTTGCTTGGTTCGAAAAAAATACAATTCTAATGTAGTATGGTAGATGATGAGTTCTTGGTTTGTTTTGCTAAAATGATTATGCTAAGCATAAATATAGTTGGACGCAATGTTGTTGTGACTCGCATCAAATTGTCAATGGATCTTTCTTCCAACCTCGATTGTACCAATTGAGTGTATGGCATTGACATGTAGTAGGAAATGATAACCATCGTTAGAACTATAGTTAGGATAAAGTAGATACAAGTTCGATCTCTCTTTTTTAAAAAAAATCACACACAGAGGTTTTCGTGATTTCTCTTAAGTAAAGTTTGATCCAGGTTTCAAGAATGAGGTATGGTTAATGTAAACGCCAAACCACTATCGTTGTTAGTCGCAAGAACCCGAACAAGAAACATACTATGCATGAATTAGGCGAAAAAGATGATGGCTTGTGTAGATTGACCATTCGATCTTTAGTCTTCACATCTTAACTTGTAGTCGCAAGAACCCGAACAAAGCACATTAACTAAATGCTTTTTGTGAGTGCTAGAGTAGTAATAGGTTCACATCTTAAAAGAAGTCATTCAGTACGTGGTTGAACCAACTTGTAGAGGTAATGTAAGTGTAATAATAGCAGTCCATTTTCAATGGCAAGAGCCTTCTGCGTTACTCCCTCTTCTAAATAAATTAACTTCTAGTGTTTTCTATTTTTTTATAAGTGTCATTAAATTATGAAAAAAGGACACCAATATTTATGATTTAAAAATACTATCTTTAAATAATTTATAAAATATATTTTCATCATAATATAATTTTTGATGTCATAGATGTTAGACATTCTTTTTTGGTGATGAAGTTGATTGGCTCAAAATGTTCGACTTACTCCTCCGTAGAATAATAGGAGTATTTTCGTGCCAAAGTTTGGACAAACCAGAGCAAACGAATCAGTGCCAAAGTTTGGACAAACCAGGTTTTATATGATGCAATGTGGCAGTTTAACGAGGGGGAGCGGGGAACACTGACACTTTTTGGCAATTTCTTTTGATTTTTTTTTAAAGGCGAACGCAGTTTCCCAGGATCCTTCAGGCTCCGCGCGGAGCAGAACAGCCGCCTATCAGCGCAGCCTCCCTGACCCGAGACGGATGCAAAGCCGTCCGATGGCGCCACGTAACCGCTCCAGGCCCATAGGGGCCGTCCGTCCCACGCGAGCACGGGCAGCTGCCGGTGGCGGTTCTCGCCTCGCACGGGCGATCTCCGGGGCCCGTGTCAGCGAGACGGGCGAGGGCGTCGTGGGTCACGACGTGGCATCGTCTCGGGAGGTCCGAGCCCAGCCCGGGGCCTCGTGGATTCCGGCTCACAGGAGTGTGAGCCCAGCCAGGTCCGGGACGGGTCCCACGCGGTTCACGCTGGATGGTGGTGGCCCAGCTGTCAGTGGTGCTGCTCCAACCGATTGGAGGGGGGAACTCGTGCGTCCTTGAGGTTTTCTTTTATTTTTAACATTTTTTAAAACTATTTTTAAATATGATACTGTTTATTTTTTTTAAACTAACACTTTTGACCGCGCCTATTCGCATGACGTGGTGAAATTACGTTGCAAATAGGGGCATGGTAAGAGCGATGACGTGGCAGCGACTAGGGCCGTCGAACGCTAGCGTGGCCGAGGCTGCCACGCCGTGGATCTGAGCGCGACACTGACTCGCCATGGAGAATGGCACGGCAATGCTCCCGCCGGCCTGTTGTAACCCACGTCAGATCGAAGAAAACCACGGCCGCCATCCCTGTCGCGCAGTCACCGCCTCACCAGACAACTCCGGCAGCTAGAAGCCTAGAAAAGATAACAACGTTGCGTTGCCGTCGGATTTTACTTTTCCCGTAAAGAAAAAGACAAGACGATTAGCATTAAAGTATTGTTGGCGATATGCATAGCTATCCCAGAACCACAGAGACAACACAATACCCTTCACAAGCAAGAACCGCATCAGCGCTAGTGAGTAGTGACCCAACTCTTTTTTTTTTTTTAAGATTTAACCGTTTGCAGTACACAAACCGACAACCGTAATCAGACGCTAAGAGCGCCTACGCGTTAATCACCGTCTGGCCACTGGCAGAAGCCAAAGCTGGCGAGCTTCTCGAACCCTCCTGAGGGCGAAAAGACGGGGGCCTCGTCGACGTCGCTGGCCTCACCGGCGACGGCGACGCGACACCACATTCAATTCAACTCGTTAAACTGAGTACCATCAGCGACGTCGCAAATGGCGATTAGCCATGACAAAAGAGCAAAACTTTATCGGGTCTGGGTAGATTACACATGACGCTGCATTACACCGGGGCGGCGCGGGGTACTGATCTCATTTACACAGGTCTGCTGGTACTGATCTCGGAGCACTGATTAAACTAGCTACTACTAACTGATAATTTAACTAAACCGACCGCTAAAACCCAAGCCATGGTTCTTGGTCTGATACGGAGACGGACGGGGGAAGGGGCGCCGACGGCAAACCAGCGGATGGAACGGAGCGAGCTCACATGACGGAGCAGGCGTTGGGGTTCTCGTCGCTGAACATCTGGGGCGCGTGGAGATGGGAGGGGCCGTGCCCGTAGGCCTGGAATTTTTTTTAACATTTTTTAAACTAATTTTAAATCAAACATTGTTTAAATTTTTTTCTTATAAAACTAACACTTTTGGCCGCGCGCCTATTTTCCTAGCGTGACGAAACGCCTGTGCCGCGCCATGGTGGCGCGGCGAGAGGGGTGACATGGCGACGATGGGCGCTGACCGATCTTGGCGCGGCACTGACGCGCCATAGCCCATGGCGCGGCAGTTTCAGGTAAATATCGCCCGTGAGCCGCCGCCCTCCCTTTGTTCCGCCGCGCGCGCCGCCGCCGCCGCTCTTCGCCGCTTGCGCCGCTTGCATCGCCACCGCCGCAGATGCCACCCATCGCGCCGCTGCTGCCGCCACCGCGCCGCCGCCGACGCCGCTTCGATCAAGACGCCGCGACGCCACCGGGGCGCCGCCACTCTGCCGCGCCAGCAGACGTCCGCCCGGCGCGCAAGCAGCGGCATACTTGCCACCGCCGCGTTCAAGACGCCGCCCACGACGACGACGCACCCAGACGACCATGACGCGACGCGCGCATGCTTAAGAACGAGTAAGATTGATTAAAGTCCTAATTAAGTGCTAATTTTGGTTTAGGCGTTCCTGTAATTAGGTTAATTAAGATATTGTCTAAGTATAAGTTCTAACAATTGGTATGCGAGAAGCCGCTTATCCTAATTCTTGAACCCTAAGACCTAATTAGTGTTTAGTTAAGATCTAAATAGCTCCGGATTTGTTCGATTCAAAGTTCTTTAAGCCAAATCAGAATATAGGGTTTCACTTAAGCACCGAGAAGGAGGGGAGTCGAATCAACTTCAACACTAAGCCCTAATTTTTGCCCAAATTCGAACCCTAGGAATGCAAATTACCCAAATCTGATAATAATCCCCAACCCTAAGATCAGTAAGACGCTTTTCACTTACCTTAAGAACTAAGATAGCGCCGTCGGGCTCCTTCACGAGTTCGCCGGTGGCCACAGAAGGGAGCCACGCCGCCGGCCTGCTATGCGCGCGCGTGGTCTCCACGCCACGGACGCCCGCAGGCATAGAAGACGAGGGCAGCAGGTCCATACATAGAAGTTGCTTATTTTCCTAGTGAAGTTGTTTAATATGTCATTTAATGTTACTTTGAATATATACATGTGCTTTCATATTGTGTTCGTATTGCATAACAAGTAGTTCAAATTTTCCAATGCTACATAATGTTAATTTGAATATTGTTAATTTGAATACTCTAACCCTTTGTTTATTAATTTGTAACAGGATGGCCCCTCCCACGCAGCACCAGTTGTACCCCCTTCTTGAGGTGGAGTACGACGAGCCGCACCGTGCACACTTCTTGACTGACACCGACGCAGAGGTGCCCTTGCCTCCTTTGAGGCCCCGCACGCACACCAGGGCGCACCAGTGGGACGAGCGTTACGCCCCGTACATACGGCGTGCCGGCTTTCTCGAGCTAGTCCGTGTTGTCAACTACGGTCTTCCGCCCCTTGACCCAGCATTACTTACTGCAGCTGTAGATAGGTGTGAGTGCCTTCATTATACGTAAACATTCTTATAACAAACTTTAGGCAACTAACAGTCGTTCTATTCTTATAACATGTGGAGCCCTGAGACCCACATATTCCACCTACCTTGCGGCGAGATGACCTTGACCATGCAGGACGTGAAGGCTATCTTTGGCCTTCGGTTGGGGGGACTTCTAGTGACAGGTATAGTTGACAATGATCACTGCAGGGAGCTGGTGGCTTAGTTCACTGGCTTTCTTCCACCGGGCGATGAGGTTAATAAGAAAAATAAGTGAGCAATTCAAGCCTATTTAATACTTGCATTTCTTTCT